TTCACATTCCATCCACCTCTCCCTACCTTGTACACGTGTCCACGGCATGCCCTCTGCAGCTCTCGACGCCTGGAAGTGAGCCGCTTTGAGCTGCTGCTACAGGTTGCCACGTTCGCTTCGGCCATTGGGGCCCTCATCGCAGGTCAGCCCTCCTCTCACACTGATTCAGTCTTAGCTACGCACGTGGGCTGTGCTGCTGTGCTGCTTCTCTCTGCATCCCCTTTACTCCGCAGTCCTTTCATGGCACCCCTCTACGTGCGTACTCTTTTGACTCGCTCAGGTCCTAGTCTGTTGTTGTGCATGTTCTTGGATTCGTCCGGTGCTCTTCTTTGATTCGCCTGTGCTGCTCATCACTTCAATTTCCAACATAGACTGTCTATCCCTCCTCATCTCCTGTATTTGTCAAAGCCTTCTCACGCTCACTCCCCTCTCTCGTGCGGCCATGCGGCTTCAATGCGCACTTCTGTTTCATTTGTAGCCCTGGTTCTGACCCCTCCCTGTGCCTCTCTGTACTTGCCGGTGGTTGTTGCCGGTGAATGAAATCTTGCTTATGCCGCTTGCCACTGACCGACAGGCATCTTCGGGATGAACCTTCGAAGTCGGTTGGAAGAGTGTGCTGTAAGTTGTTCCCCCTCTTCCAGATTTCATTTAGTCATGCACATGCGTCTCTCTACATGTATGCAAAAGCCATACCTGTTCATTCTCAACTTCATAGGCATCTGCGTGTCAACCTTTCTGTGCTGTCAGGAGAAAAGCGTTGAACCTTCTAGCATGCTTATTCAACTTATTGTTGGACCCCCTCCCTTCCCCACAACCTCCCCTTACCACAGACTGCATTCTGGTTGACCACAGGGGGTATCATCTTAGGTGGTGTGGTCATGTTTGTCCTCATGCTCATCTACCTGCGTCGCCGCAAAATCCTATGAATTCACCAACTGTGTGCAATCGGTCGTACGCGCAGCAGCACAGCGCATATGCATACCTGTAGCTATTAGATGAATTTGGTGTTGGGGGGAAGGGGGGGGTTGGGTGGGGGGGGAAGGGGTGTGGTTTTGTGTCTTCACAATAATTATTTGGCTGTACACAGTGCTTGCTAGTTGTAAATATTGACTATCATTGCGAATACATGTACGCGTTTCTGAGAACACGTAAGATCGATTTTGTGCTGTGGATGTGGGACTACGATATGTATCCATTTACGAGATTACATCGCGACCGCACATTCGCATGCCCTCGGTATAAGCATTACGGCGCACCATTGCACCAGCGGCTGAGAACTTGTTCACGTTTTTGCGTGAACTCCTCTCATTCGCCCTGTGCAGTCACGCTGACTCGCCTCTCCAGCATATGCCTCGGTGATTGTTGGTAATCCCTGCGATCCAATCTCTAGACCAGAATTACCACCAAGCATTTGTTTTTTACGGAGGCTACTCCATCCATGATATGGTCGTCCATGGTCTGGTCTGGTGGTATCTCGGCTGCAGCTTTCCGGTTTCAACATAGCCGCTGTTTTCCGTGTGGCTGAACCATCGTGGCGGGTTTAGTTCACTGCCGTTCCTAGTCACGGATCTATGTAGGGTTTAGTTCGCTGTCGTGCATTCTTATTCGTTCCTCATCATCGGCTTTTCGCCAAGATCGTCATTTTCCCTCGCATCCGCTCCCCTTGCTAACCGCAAAAACCGCTCGCACGCTTCCGTCGGTAGCGTTCTTCACGCCACCTTCCTATTGATCTCAGATCTTTCCTTTTCGAAGCCGTACGAGACCTCCTCACATCTCGGTTTCTCCATCTTGAGAATCAAGAAGGCGGCCTTCAAGCTACGACTTTCCACGATTTTCGATCTTTCAACTAGTCTCAAGAATCTGTTCGCTTCCTGAATCTCGATGACATTTTTTCGTGGAGACCGGTCTACCGTCTGTTTTCGCCGTTACCGCAATTTCACTCAACTCTGGTGGTCGTAGATCCTGAAGTCGGTGGAGAGATTATACCGCATCATCAGAGCCACCTTCTGCACGGCTCTCCAGTTTTCGGTTATTCCCGATACTGCTGCTTCGCGCTGGCCAGATCGGCCACTCTTCGCTCTTTCATCGCGTTGCTTGCAACTTGTCTTGGCTTGGCTTGTCCCTGCTTGGTTCGGGTTGCGTCATCGTTCAAGCGGCTGTGAAAGCCTCACCTTGTCTGCATATCCGCTCCAAGGGGGTGGATTCACGCAAGGGTTCCACACTGTGACAGTGGAAGGACCCAGTATCGGTTCCGCGTTGGTCGCGAGAACACCGATCTACGCTCGCTCTTCTGTGGTCTCCTCTCATCGCCGGTCGTATCATCAGCCTTCAGTGCCTCGCCTCTTCTTGCTACCCGGCACCTAATCCCGCTTCGCCTCGCCTCTCCTCGCCTCCCGCTTCGTCGCGCCTCTGTTCGCCTCGATTCGTCTCATCCCACCTCATCTCATCGGCTCGTCTCCTCCTGTCTCCATTGTCACGCATCGCGCCGCCGCAACGAGTATCAGTCTCGTGCACCGCACTGGTCGTCACGTTCATCATCTTTATCATCGACATCATCATCGACATCATCATCGACATCATCATCGACATCATCATCGACATCATCATCGACATCATCATCGACATCATCATCGACATCATCATCGACATCATCATCGACATCATCATCGACATCATCATCGACATCATCATCATCATCATCATCATCATCATCATCATCATCATCATCATCATCATCATCATCATCATCATCATCATCAGCACCATCGTCAACATCACCATCGTCTCCCGCCCTGATTCAAACGGTTCTCCTCTCTTCACCTGCGGGCTTTTTCTCTGAGCATCCGTCATCTCGACTCTCCTCCGCTCCATCTTCCTCGTCATCTACAGCTGCTCGTCCATATCCACGCCTTATCCGTCTGCCGCTCTCCGCGTCGGCTCCCTCTGCCATTTGTGGTCGTATCCCTCCCTCCTCGCTCCTCGTTCCCCATCACCGCATCAACCCGTGGAGTACGTCGTAAGGAGCTAGCTGACTCATCTCGCCGACTCTGCCCATCTAATTTCTTCAACGCGCGGCTTGCGCTGGCCCTTACTTCGCCTCTCCGGTTCTTCTCCTCTTGCCACACGCGCGCCTCCCTCACCCGCATCTGCTTTCCGCCCGCCTGCCGTTCAACGGCTTTCGTCTAATGAGTCGTCTTTAAAGCCAAGGCTTTGTCAACGGGACACTGTTGTGTAGGCTTACGGGACCGGCATTCTACAACGGAGTTAAGGGAATCTGTTTCTTGCTGTGCGCGCAAGGAACAACACTTTTTAGGAGATACCTGCGTTTCGCCTCTTTCCGTTACGGGAAGTTCCTCTTCTCTGGTCGACGTACGCGATTTGGGAGTAGTGGTGAAGATCGCGCGCTCAGCGCCCTGCTCGCGCCTAGGCGGCCAAATGACGCGATTTGTGGAGAGACGGATTTGACTGCGAAGCATCGCTGCTGGTGTGGCACCGAGTCCTGCTGCTCTGATCGACGGGCGGTAGCACACGCGACGGCGTAGTTGGTTTCTCTGAAGAATTCCAGAGCTAGTGGGTCGCAATCGGGTGGGGCCATTCCGCCGTTAGAAAGGTTCTTTTTGAGCCGTTGATCAGGCGGAAGCTGCCTTGACTCTGCAATTGCGGCAAGGCAACCACCGGTGGTCCGTCAGTCTTTTGCGGGGATAAGCCTTCTGCGTCACGTGGCTCTGTTGCTGTAGCTTGTGGCCGCTCTCTTCTTCGTTGGAGTCGTCTGCGTTATCACCACCAGCGGCACTATCGTCATCATCAGCACCATCGCTATTGCCGTTACCAACGACATCCATACCAGCACCACCACCACCACACCTCCTCCTCCTCCTCCCTCCCCCAACTTCATTTACCTGATCTTCCCTCCCACCTCCTCCGTATCCCCTCCTCCATCTCACCCTCTCCTCCACGTCGCCCTTTCCAGTTCCACCGCCAACCTCCTGGGGCACTTCCTTTATCCATCCTTGAAACGCATCTGCTTCATCACATCCGCCCATCTTTTCCTCCTTCAGCGGCTACTTGCGGAGTCCCCTGTCTCTCGCGGCCTCCCGCGCAGTTCCAGTGCGAATCCGTTTTCTCGACACTTCCGCTTCCACTGCCACCCCACCACCCCCCGCTATTGAAAGTGTTTTGCCGTCAGTGGGTATCTCCTTTTCTCTGGCAGTCTCTCAAGCCGAGCTGCAGGGAGTTAGATTCAGGTGCTTAAGGCCAGCTACTGAAGACCAGCAACCTCAAGGCAACTACGCTAAACCCTAAAGTCCAAGTTTAAGCAAACCTCTTGAAGCATCACCACACACTCGCCACTGGCGCTGCGTGCGACACCGACGGCAGCAGCATTGGTGGCAGCAGCTTCTGAGCTGGCCTGCGTGGCCGTGGGGTTAAGGCCCCTGGTCTATTCTTGAAAGCCCCGTTCTTGGGCTGGGTCTTGCCCCCTCCCATCCCGCATCCCTGGCTGGCGATTCACATTGCCTGACGTGCCCGGGGGTGCCAGCTGCTATAGTCCAAGGTCAACAAGAGGCAGTGTCCGGTACGCATCTGCTTGGAATCGCTCGGAACAAAGAGCGGTACTGAACCGTTTGTTCCACGCATTGCCCTCCCACTCCCAGCGCAGTTCATTTAGCGACAGCCTTGAGTGGCGGCGGCATCCCATCTAGCTGACCCATCCCTTCATCCCGGCGGCATCCCATCTAGCTGACAGGCACGCCAATCGGCTGTTCTTCTATCCACCACTTGCCCGTCCTTCTGACCGTCCGTCCGTTCGTTACCTCATCATCTTAGCGATTCAACCACCCACCATTCACAATCATTTCCGATACTCAAAGCCATCTGGTCAGCATGAGTGGCGGTGGCAGCTACAGGCGTACTTCGGGCTCAGGCTCATGGCACGAGAGGGACGAGCGGCAGGGAAGGTCTGGTAGGAGCAACATGAGCGAGAGGGAGGGGAACATGCACTCGAGAGGCGCTCCCTTCGTCCCAATGGACCAGCCTCAGCAGTACAGCCAGCAGCAGGAACAGCAGCAACAGCATCACCGTCACCAGCAGTTGCAGCAGCAGGAGCATTACCGGCACCTGCAGCTGCCGCGGCAGGAGCAGCACCGGTATCAGCAGCTGCCGCAGCTGCAGCAGCAGGAGCGTGGGGGCGGAGGAGGTGGTGGGGTTTCAGGGGATAGAGCGCGGGTTGCTGCTGCGGCGGCTCTTCGGGAGAGGGAAATCGCTGGGGGCAGCAGGAGGGAGGGGTGGAGGGGGGAGGAGAGAGAGCGGGGGAGGAGAAGTGATGTTGGGTATGTTGGTGGTAGAAGTGGTGTGGGAGGAAGAGAGGGAGGTGTCGTGACGGGTGCGGGTGAATGGGAGAGGGAGCGGGAGCGGGAGAGGGAGAGGGAGAGGGAGAGGGAGAGGGAGAGGGAGAGGGAGAGGGAGAGGGAGATAGAGAGGGAGAGGGAAAGGGAGAGGGCGAGGGAATGGGAAAGGTTGAAGGAGAGGGAGAGATATATTGAGAAGGAGAGGGAGAGAGATCCAGGGAGGGACAGGGGAAGAGAGCTGGAGATTCAGCAGTGGCAGCAGAGGCAGCGCGAGGAGGAGCGGTTGCTGCAGGACATGGCTCCAATGACATACGCTCTGCGTTCCGGACTGAGTCAGGGGGCTCAGTATGATTCATCGAACCTAGACGCAACGAGATATGCCCCTTCTCCGCAGCAGTACGGTGCTTCAGCCACAGCAGCCACAGGCGCTTGTGCTCCTGCCGTTGCTGGTGACACTGCTTCTGGTGCTCCTGGTGCTGTTCCCGGTTCCATTCCGCACGCTCTCAACCAACTGCCACCATCACCGATGCTATACCCTGCTGCTCCAGGACCAATCACGCAGCCTGGAAACGCACCGATGGTGTATGGGCAAGCGGGAGGGGTTCAAGCAGCAGGCATGCCTGGCATGGTCGAGCCAGGCAAACCGGTTCACATAGTACCAGCGGGCATGGGCATTCCAATGCACATTCACGACGGGACTGGCGTCAAATTGGTCTATGTGGCTTCGGCGCCTCCTGCTGCTGCCCCTGCTGCTGCCCCTGCTGCTGCCTCTATTCCTGCTCCTGGCCCTGTCCCTGTTCCTACTCCTGCTGCAGCTGCTTCCGGGGCTTCTGTGCCTGATGTCGCTGCTGGGGCTGCTCCCACTGCGGCTGTTGCTCCTGGTGCGCCTCAGCTTGTCTTCCCTAACCAGCACCCAGCACAACGTGTGTTATACGGTGCCTCCGCCCCTCCTCCCCACCTGCAACCCCCCCACATGCATCATCCTTATATGCTCCTGGCCCAGGGCCACGCTCATCACCCGGCTATGTCAGCAGGTGCTGCAGCTGCCGCTGGTAGCGCTGGTGCTGGTGATGGTGCTGGTAGGGTTGGGTATCCCACGTATCAGCCCCATCAGGTGCCTGGTCAGCAGCCAGTCTTTGGGGAGGCTCTCCCCCCGTCCACCCACTCTCCTGCTCTTCCCACAAGAACGGTTCGCATCACGGCCCGAGCGTCACCGCAAGGGCCAGGAGAAGAGGGCAGGGAGCAAGTTGGGCGGAGGACGGTTGTTCCTGTGACCCTGTTTCCGGGGCAACCCGGGTATGAGGACGTGCGTGCAGTGCAGGGCCGTGGTGGGGAGAAAGTTGAGGGTGCTGAGTATGGTCGCGTTGTGCATTTGGACAGGAGTGGTGGGAGCGGCAGGATGGTTAGGGTTGGGGAGAGGAGAAGGGAGTGGGAAAGAGAGAGGGAGAGAGAAGAGAGAGAGGAGAGAGGAGCGAGAGCGGGAGAAAGAGAGGGAGAGGGAGAAAATGAAGGAGAGAGATAGAGAGAGAATGAGGGAGAGGGATAGGGTTAGGGACAAGGAAAGGAGAGCGAGAGAGAGAAGATGCGTGAGAAAGAGCGGGAACGAGAGCGGCAGGCGGAGAAGGAGAAGGAAGGGCGACGAGAGGGACTGAAGGAGAAGGAGAGGGCGAAAGAGAAGGATGAGAGAACAAAAGAGAAGGAGAAGCTGATGGCGGGCGGCAAGACACAGGACAGGAAGGAGAGGGAGGAGAAGGACAAGCAGAAGGAAAGCGAGAAGGAGAAGGAGAATCAGAAGCAGAATGAAAAGGAGAAAGACAAGGAAAAAGAGGAGAAGGCAAAGGAGAAGGAGAAGCAGAAAGTGAAGGATCGGCTTGGCGACAAGGAGCGAGAGAAGGCTACAGAGAAGGAGAAGTCAAAAGAGAAAGCGAAGGAGAAGGCCAAGGACATAGGCAGCGATAAACCCAGCTCAAATGCCCTTCCTGGGTACATTTTTGGGTGCACCAACGTGACAAAGCAAGAGTGCTACGACCGGGGGCTGTTTGGGAGCACGTCCACTCACTGCCGCGAGGTTGAGCGCATAGACAAGGGCACACGGCTGTTCCTGTTCAACTTTGACGATCGTGTGATGCACGGGGTGTATGTTGCGCGCGGCAAGGGAGGCTGCGCCTTGGTGAGGGACGCCTGGGAAGGCCGCTTCCCCTGGCAGGTGGGTGCTTGTGAGGCGCGTGCGTGTGAGATGGGGACAGTCGGGGGGCAGCGTGTGTCACTTTCAGAAGCGACACACGCGCTTTCTTCCTGGGTCTGGTGTGGGATAAAAAGTTGCATGGCGAGGGGTCAGGGTGGTCATGGCCTTGGCTGTGGGGATGGGCATGGATGTGGACATTTGCAGGGTTTATTGGAGTATAAGCACAAAGCACAAAGAAATGGAATGGAAGCTTGGCATTGTGGGGTGCAATAGTGAGGGTGGCTTTTTATCCTCTCGCTGCGTGCGATTTGTTTGTACTTCCTGGGATCCGTGTGTCACTTTCAGAAGCGACACACGCGCTTTCTTCCTGGGTCTGGTGTGGGATAAGAAGTTGCATGGCGAGGGGTCAGGGTGGTCATGGCCTTGGCTGTGGGGATGGGCATGGATGTGGACATTTGCAGGGTTTATTGGAGTATAAGCACAAAGCACAAAGAAATGGAATGGAAGCTTGGCATTGTGGGGTGCAATAGTGAGGGTGGCTTTTTATCCTCTCGCTGCGTGCGATTTGTTTGTACTTCCTGGGATCCGTCCCGGCCCCGGTCATCTGGCTGAATGTGCTTGTCTCGCACTTTCACAATGTTCCGTTCTCTTGACTCATTGATTTGAATGTGGGTATGTGAATGTGGATGTGTATGTATGCACGTGAGTGTATTTGTGCGTGCATACATGTGCGTGTGTTTGATTCTCGTGTGATGGATGTGCACTTGGGTGTGTATGCGCGTGTGTGCATGATTGTGCGCGGCTGTGCATGTGTCTGGATGCATGCATGTGTGTCTGCATGCATGTGTTCCAAGCAGGTGCGTTTTGAGGTGGAGGAGGAGTTTCCTGCACTCAAGGAGTCAGAGTTCAAGTCTGCTATAAGGGACAATGTCTATAAGCACCACAAGTACTCGTTCACTCTCACAGACCAACAGGTGCTCGTCTCATCCTCACCTTCTCGCTCCCTCCGTTTCTTGACTCTACTTCTCTCCCTCCTCATCACTGTCTCTCCCGCCCTTCCCTTCCCCACCGCCCTTGTCTTTGACTATACCACGCAATCTTAAGCAACCTAGAGCAACACCACTCTACATCAGTTCCCTCTGCCATGACATGTTTACTATTGAAGTTTGATTGTTTCAAACCGCTCTTCGCTTATTACTGATGCGACCTTCCAACAAGCTGTTGCGGTCTTCGAAACAATGTTGTGAGGCGCCTGGAAACTTGTCAATGGTCCATGCGGCTAAAGAAGAACATGGCCTATCTTGAAGCTGCTGCCGCGTTCCTTGTCAACCCCGTTTTGATTAACTTCTTGATCCTTGTGTGCTTGATCAGGTGTCAAACCTCATTGCTCTTTTCCGACGAAACTCAATACCGCAGCAGGTAAGTGTGTTCAACCGTATTGTCTTCCCCGGGGAGACTGGAAAAAAGCCTACTATGTTGGAAGAAGGGAAAGCAGAGACTGCAGTGAGCCCACAGAGCAAGTCTGGGAAGAAAAAGGGTGGGTTGGTGAAGGAAGGAGGGGGGGAGGAGAAAGCAGAGGAAAATAAAGGGTTGGCAGGGGTTGCGGGGGCTTCTTGGAAGCGGGTTAATGCAGCTGAAGCTGCTGCTGCTGCTGCGCTGAAAGGAGTTAAGGGGCGAGAGAAGGGTGCTAAGGTGGAGGATGGGAGGAAGAGAGGCAGGGAGGAGGATGGGAAGGAGGGTGTGGGGGGGGTTGCAAGGAGGATAGACAGAGGTGGAATGGAAGTGGTAAGCAGTGGTGCGAGGGGTTCTGGGGTAAAGTTAGGAAAGAGGGGGAGGGATAAGGGAGAGATAGAGTTACAGAGGAAAGTAGGGAGGGTGGAGGGGGAGGAGGGAGGAGAGAACAGAAAGCAGTGGCATGTGCGACTGGTGCGGAGTAGGTTGTCACAAGGGAGTGCTTCTGCTGCTGCTTCTGCCACCACTGCCGGTGCTGCCGGTGCTGCTGGTATGTCAGTTGAAGGCGAGAGGAGAAGGTTGAAAGAAGGATGGTTTGTGGATTTGTGCAGTGGTTGTGCTAGGACGTCTCTTGTTGTTGTTGACGCACGTGATGTGGGGGAAGGGGAGGGCGGAGGGGAGGGGAGGGAGCTTGCAAAGGAAGGAGATATTGAGGGGAAGAGAGAGGAGAAGATGGAGGAAGGCAATGGGCAGAGAACAACACTGATGATTTTTGGGGAGGATGATGATGAGGAGAATGAGGAGGGTGGACGGCAGGAGGAGGAGGAGGCAGGTGAGAGAATGGTTACGGAGGAAAGGGAGAGCAAAGCTGTTGAAGGGAAGAATGAACAAGCTTGTGCTGATGTTGCTGGTGCTGATGCTGCTGGTGCTGATGCTGCTGGTGCTGACGCTTCTGGTGCTGACGCTGCTGGTGCCGATGCTGCTGGTGCCGATGCTGCTGGTGCCGATGCTGCTGGTGCCGATGCTGCTGGTGCTGATGCTGTTTGTGCGGCTGCTGTTGTTGCTGTTGCTGCTGCTGCTGCTGCGGATTCCTCTAGGGGAGCAGCAGAGGAAGGCAGGGAAGAAGGCTCACAGGAAGACAAGAGGAACACGGCAGAGGGTGGGGAGAAAGAAGTAGAGGGAAAGGATGGGGTGAAGGCTGACGATGAGGTGAACAAAGGTGAGGAGGGAGGTGAGGGAGAGAAGAGCAAGACAGAGGAGGGTGAGAGAGTAGAGGTTGATCAGGGATTAGTTGGTGTCTCTGGTAAGCTGGGTGTTGGAGATGGGGAAAAGGTGTCGAAAGAAGAGACGGCAGGGGTAGAAGGTGAGGAGTGCGGGCAAGCAGGAGAGGGGAAGGATGAGGGGAAGGTGAACAGGGAAGTGGAGGGTGTGACAGGGGGAATGGAGGAAGAGCATGTGGAAGCTGAGGTAGGAGGGAAGGAGGGAGGAGCACGTGGCAAAGAGGAGGAAACGAGGATTGGCGAGTCGAGGAGTGAGAAAGTTGTTGAGAGTGAAGGAGTTGAAGCTTTGAGGGGCAAGGATGATCGTGACGCTGCCGCCTCTGCTGCTGCCGGTGCTGCTGCTGCTGCTGCTGCTGCTGTTTCTGATGGCGCTGCTGCTGAGTCTGATATTGCTGCTGCAGATGCAGCTGCCACTGCTGCTGAAGCTGCTGCTGATGATGCAGATACTGCTGGTGCTATTGCTGCCAATGCTGATACTACTGCTGCTGATGCTGCTGGTGCTGCTGCTGCCAACGCAGATACTACTACTGCTGATGCTGCTGGTGCTGCTGCTGCCAATGCTGATACTACTGCTGCTGATGCTGCTGGTGCTGCTGCTGCCAATGCTGATACTACTGCTGCTGATGCTGCTGGTGCTGCTGGTGCTGCTGCTGCTGAAGCTGCCTATGCGGCTGGCAATGCTGCTGATACTGACGCTGCTGCTGACGCTGATGCTGCTTATACTGATACTGCTGCTGCTGCTGCTGCTGTTGATGCTGCTGCTGCTGCTGCTACTGCTGCTGCTGCTGTCGATGGTGATGGTGATGCTGCTGGTGGTGCTGATGCTGACACTGCTGCTGCCGATGATACTGTTACTGCTGCTGATGCAGCTAACGCTGATCCTGCTGCTGCCGCTGCCGCTGCCGATCATGTCGTGGCTCCTGATACAGCTGCAGATGCTGAGGGTAATGCGGATGCTACTGGCGAGGACAAGGTTACTGGCAGTGCTGGTGCTGATGCTAGTGGTGCTGCTGATGCTGATGCGTGGTATGAGGCAGATGAGCAAATTGAGGATGTAAAGTAAGGGCAGTGTTTTGAAGGACAACGGTGGAAAATGCATTCGTGCTGATTGTTTGGCTTGGTGCTGATGCTGCTGCAGGCGATGGTAATTGTTACTGATGTGCTGGAGTGTGGAGATGGGGATGGGAATGAGTATAGGCATGGGCATGGGCATGGGCATGGGCATGGGCATGGGCATGGGGATGGGCATGGGGATGGGCATGGGGATATGGGGTATGGGGATGGGGCATGGGGATGGGCATGGGGGTGGTGTTGGATGGGGTTGGTGATGGCAAGGGCAATGAGGCAATGACTTGAGGTTTGGTGTGTGGACAGGCCTGTCATGGTGTTCACCACTGAGATTTGATACACTGATGTGTGTTGTGCCGTTCTCACCGTTTGACTTCTTGCAGTTCCTTTTCCCTAGCTATAAGTAGAATGTACGGTAGTAGTATGGCTTTGTTTTTGACAATGTTTCTGCATGCAATGTGATTCTGAGCACTGTTCGGGAACCTGTTGTTTCCTGGCACTTCGACCTGGATCTTTTGGAAATGCTAGTGTGGTACTGTACTGTGACACTACACTCCAAAGGATTGAATACTGTAGGCATATAGGTAATTCAATGTACTTCCATAAGAACAGACAAACAGGTTGTCAGACGGCAATGCAGCAGCACAACAGGGCTTGTGTGGCACATACCGTATCATCTGCTGCATCTTCCAAGAGTGCATGGTTTGGTCAAGCGAGTTAGGCAACACATCTAGGTGGGTAACTGACTTGGGGGGTCATTCCTCTTGTGCCGTATCGCATCCTTCCTTGATGAAACAAGGGGTCTGGCATGTCGTTGACTCGATGTCATCTGGGTTGCTTCAAGCACTGATTCCACAGCAGGTCGTCTGGCAAGATAAAGGGCTTTCGGGCACAAACAGTGGAAGATGTGGTGGTGGGTGGGGGAAGACTGTTGGTGCTGTTGAGTTAGGAGTTGTTTGTTAGAATCTTTGGTGTGCATCAGTGTTTAACTGGCCGCAACGGCAACACCATTGGAAACACTACCGGTACTACCAGCACCAGCAGCAACGGCGCCACGAGCACCAGCACCAACAGCACCACCAGCACCAACATCACCAGCAGCAGCAGCAGCAGCAGCACTGGCACCACCAGCACCAATACCAGCAGCAGCAGAAGCAGCAGCACCGGCAGTGGCACCAGCAGCACCACGAGCAACAGCAGCCACAGTCTCTGTAGCCACACGAACAGCTCGAGCGAGGTCAGCAACGGAGCTATCGAGCACCAGGCGCCGTGCGGAAACCTCCTCCGGCGAGAGGGTCTTGCCACAGGGGCGCAGGTGGCGGGAGGTGAGGCTGGGGAAGTGGCTGATGTGCACTGCTGTGGCGGGCAGGTTCACCTCCCCTGCCCGCGGCTCCAGCACCTTGTGCACCTGCATGGGGTTTCGAGAGAGGGGGGGGTTGGGGACAAGGGAGAAGGGAGAAGGAGGGTTGGTGAATGGGTTTGAGGGTTTCACAGAGTTACACGATGTGCTGTGCACTCACACCTGTGTTCCCAACTTGCGCTGCCGCAGGAAAACTCCAATGGAGCAGCAAGGGCAGCACAGCAAGGTTAAGAGCGAGTGCTTATGCACACAATGGGCAAGGTAAGATAACGACGCTTATCTCATTGCAACACTACTGAGAATCCGCATAGCAACACGCGCCCGTGAGTGCATGCACTCACAGCCAGCATGTGGGTTCGCCTCGGGTCCACGACAAACTTGCGCTGCCCCACACCCTCCAGGCACATGCTTCTATCCGGGTACTGCGATGTGTTTCTGCATGCAGGCTCCGCCTCCCTCCACACCATCCCCTCCACCGCCCATCCCTCCCCCTCGCCCTCCCCTCTCCTCCCCCCACCTGCTGCTGCCTCCATGCCTCCTGCGGTTCCGTCTCTCTTCTCCTGCCCCTGCTCCTGCACCTGTCCCTGCCCATGCCGCTGCCCCTTCCCCTGCCGCTGCTGCTGCTTTTGGCGGTGAGTGGGCGGGGCGAGAGGGTTGGTGGGGGAGGTGCGGGGGCATGTGTCTGTGAGGAAGCGGAAAGCTCCAAAGGTGACGTGCGAGGATTGCTGGGGGGAGGAAAAGTGGTGGCAGGAGGGAGCGGGGGGAAAGGAGGGGAGTGATGCGGTGACGAATTGAGATGACAGCATTGCACACCTACCATCAGTTCACCCACCCGCACCCACACACTCACCCACACCCAGACACACCCCCACACACCCACATCCACCCAGCTGGAGCAGGTGAGCACATGAGCCACGATGAAGTGTGGCGGCTGCTGCACAAGCAGCTACTCCCATGACAGGCTGCTGCACAAGCAGCTACTCCCATGACAGGCTGCTGCACAAGCAGCTACTCCCATGACAGGCTGCTGCACAAGCAGCTACTCCCATGACAGGCTGCTGCACAAGCAGCTACTCCCATGACAGGCTGCTGCACAAGCAGCTACTCCCATGACAGGCTGCTGCACAAGCAGCTACTCCCATGACAGGCTGCTGCACAAGCAGCTACTCCCATGACAGGCTGCTGCACAAGCAGCTACTCCCATGACAGGCTGCTGCACAAGCAGCTACTCCCATGACAGCTGCTGCACAAGCAGCTACTCCCACGACAGCTGCTGCACAAGCAGCTACTCCCATGACAGGCTGCTGCGTCCTGTGACTCACACACACCCACACATGCACGCACCCCCACGCACACCCGCATGGACACACGCATCCCTTCCCACCTGGTGCAGGGCGAGCACATGAGCAATGGAGTGCGGCGGCTGCTGCACCAGCAGGTGCTCGCATGGGAGGCTGCATCCTGTAACCTACACAGCTGTCCAAGGAACAGCACCCAGTGCACCCACTCCCACACCCATCCACACCCCCCCACCCACCCTCCCATCTGGTGCAGGGCGAGCACGTGTGTGATGGAGTGCGGCGGGTGCTGCACGAGCACGTACTCGTCTGGGTGCAGGAAGAGAGCCCAGCGTTACCCTCACATGAGAGGCTGCATCCTTAGACTCACATGCCCATCCACACACACCCCATCCCACCTGGTGCAGTGCTAGCACGTGGGCAATGGAGTGCGGGGGGTGCTGCACCAGCAGGTACTCGTCTGGGTGCAGGAAGAGCGCCCAGCGCGCTGCCGTGCGCGCAAAGTAGAGACAGTCATGGAAGGCCAGTAGCTGGTGGTTCAGGGAAGGAAGGGAGGGAGGGTGGGGTGGGAAGGGGGAAGAAGGGAGAGGGAAGGAGGAAGTGGGACGGAAGAGGGGTTGGCAGATCAGCGTAAAAGTGGCTCAAGGAGCAAGCATAACAGCTGCTCCCACCTGCCCACGCCCTCACCTGCGCAAGCGCCCACCTGCCCTTCTTCCCACCTGCCCATGCGCCATCCCACCCCGCCTCACCACGGCATGCATGCCCATCACTGCCGCTGCCCGCGCCCCTATGGCCAGCAGGCATAGCAAGCAGACCACATGCCCGCCCACCTGCCCTGCCCTGCCCTGCCCTGCCCTGCCCTGCCCATGCACTCTCTCATCCCTCTTGGCTATGCCATCATCCCGCCACCTGCCCCTGCCTTTCTTCCCACCTGCCCATGAGCCGTGCCATCGCGCCCTGCCACGGCGCGCATGTCCATGACAGCCGCTGCGCGCGCCTCTATGGCGGGCGCCAGCTGCTGCAGCAGCCGCTCCTCCACGCCACCCGCATCGTACAGCTGGAAATAGTCCACCTGGCGCGCGGGGGGGGGGAGTGGGGGGGGAAGAGGCGGGAGAAAGGGGAGGGTGGAAATTGAGAAAACGGGGGAAGAGATGGGAGACGGGGTGGATAAGTCGGGCAAGGAGGGTGAGGGTGGGGAGAAAGGGAACGATGGAAAAGGGAGGATGGAGGTTGAGGTGGATGGATGGTGAGATGATAAAGTTTTGAAGATCTTTCAACCTTATGGATGCCTTAAGCTGAGGCGCCTCTTCTGTGCTTTACACCCTCCCTATCTCGGACTCCCCACCCTCGCTCTCGCCCAGCGCCTCACTCACATCACATGGTGCATGGTGCGGTGACTCACATGGTGCACTCTCCCTCTCTCCCTCTCCCTGCGCGCCTCACTCACGTGGTGCACGGTGCGGTGGAAGTTGAGCCACTGTGCGAATCTGACAGCATGCACGGCCACATGGATGGGCGTGCTGCAGTACATGAGGTTGTACATCAGCGTCTCCTCGTCCTGGGGAGGGGGTCGGTGAAGAGGGGAATGCAGTACAAGAATCCCTTGCGAGCCCCCCACACAGCGCGAATCGAATCAAACCCAATCAAACCACACAGGCTCAATCAAATCAAATCAAATCAAATCCAACGAAAATCCAATCAGAGCAAAGCAACTCACGCCAAAGCTGTGGTGGAAGCCGTGGTTGCCCTCCTCCTCATACACAAGTACGTCCTCTCCATTCACCTCCATGCGCAGTTGCCCACCCGTGCGCAGACTCGCCTCCTCGTCCAGCAAACACACCAGCACCACCGTCTCTGCTCCCACCACCCCACTAGTCGCTCTGCCCCCACTGCCGCCGCTGCTGCCGCCGCCTGCTGCTCGTGCTGCTGCTCCCTTTGCTCCTCCTGCTGCTGGGAGCTTGGCAGCGGCAGTGGCAGCGGCAGCAGCAGCAGTGGTAGTGGTGGTGGTGGTGGTGGCAGATTGCAGGTGTTTCGGTAGGTGGGCATGTGAGGGATGCTTTACCGTGACTTGACCCACATGCCGGTCTCCATTCTTTTCCACCCACCTGGTTGGGGTGAGAGTGGAGAAAGAGGGGCGGGAAGAGATCGATTGGGGAGCATTGGGCACATGTTTAAACAAAGGTTGGTAAGAAGTCAGCATGCGAAATGGGACGCCTCACCCTCTGTCAACTCGGCTATGCACAGCACAGCTCACACACACACACTTGCAAGAGTGGGCACGGGCGTGCTTGTGGTGCTGCTGCTACTCCCCTGGAGGCCTATTATTACGAGGAACAGCAAAAGTAAATACCCAGCCCAGTCTTACTCGCACGACTGGGCTTGGAGCATGGCGGTGCTGCTGCTGTTGCCCACATGGTGCAAGCCAATGGCCACGAATGAGTCCATGGATGCACGGTAACCGCTGAATAGCACAAAGCCACTCTGCCGTGGTGCGCGGGCGGGAGGGGGGGAGAGGGAGGGAGAGATGAAGGGACGTCTCGAACCTTGATGGCAACGACTGGGTCCATGATGCAACTTTACCGCTAATTACAACAAAGCAGCTTCGGGGTGGTGCGCGGGTGGGAGCAGGCAGGGGAGGGGGAGGAGAGAGGAAGGGTGGGAGTGAAAGATGAGGAATGACTGAGAGAGGAAAGGAAAGAGAGTTCTAGGGTGCTTTTATATTTCAAAAGTAGACCACGAGTGGTGGGTTTAAGTCTGAAGGGACAAGGGGAACGACAGGAAGGGAGGGATAATAGGGAGAGAGGGAATGAAAACAATGCAGGTTCACCTTTGACTTAGACGCACAGAAGAGCAGAGCAGGAAGATTCCATTACACGCTACCTGATACAGGGAAGCTCTTACTGTACTCCATGCAGGCTCAGTTGAAACTCCTCCTCCCCTGCTGCTCCCTTGCTGCTGCTGCTCGCGCTGCTTCTTCTGCTGCAGTTTCGGCTGCTGCTGTTGGTGCTGCTTCTGCACATTTTCCTGGATATTCTCCAGCCGTTTCTGCCCCTGTTGTTGCGATTCCTTTGACTTCTTCTTCTTCTTCTGATTCTGCTTCTGGTTCTGTTGCTGTTGCTGTTGTTGCTGCTGCTGCACCTGCTCTTGGATCCCTCCTTGACCCCTCTTGTTGGTGGAAAGGGAAGGGGGAAAAAGAGCTTTTCCGGATTGCGTTATCAACGAAGGTGACGGGACAGAAATAGAAGGAGAGAGAGACAAAGAGGGAACGTGGGAGGAAGCAGGACGGGGCGAGTGCGAGGATGGGGAAGTGAGGCGCGAACCGGGGGAGGAGAGGGATGGGGAAGGAGGAGGCAGCGCGGAGGCTTGGGAAGGAGAGGGGATGGTGCGGGAAGAAGCGGGTTTCGTAGTAACAGAGGTGAGGGATGGAAGAGGGGTTTGGAGCAGGGGAGCAGGAGGAGGAGCAGGAGAGAGCGTGGGAGAAGAAAGGGAAGGTGAAGGGAGAGAGGGACTTGAGAGCAGTGGGAAAGAGGAAGACCCCCTATCTGACCCATTCTGCACACGTCCTTCCATTCCTTCTGATCCTGCTCTGCTATTTCTCTCCCTGCCTTGCTCCCGTTTCTGCTGCTCCTTCTGCTGCTCCTTCTGTTGCTCCTTCTGTTGCTCCTTCTGTTGCTCCTTCTGTTGCTCCTTCTGTTGCTCCTTCTGTTGCTCCTTCTGTTGCTCCTTCTGTTGCTCCTTCTGTTGCTCCTTCTGTTGCTCCTTCTGTTGCTCCTTCTGTTGCTCCTTCTGTTGCTCCTTCTGTTGCTCCTTCTGTTGCTCCTTCTGTTGCTCCTTCTGTTGCTCCTTCTGTTGCTCCTTCTGTTGCTCCTTCTGTTGCTCCTTCTGTTGCTCCTTCTGTTGCTCCTTCTGTTGCTCCTTCTGTTGCTCCTTCTGTTGCTCCTTCTGTTGCTCTGGCACCCGATGCTCCCCAACAGGCTGCTTCTCCCCCAGCTGCTCCAGTCCCGGCTGCTTCTGTTGCGCCTCCTCCTCCTGGTGCTTCTGCTGCTCCCTCTGCCGCTCTACGAGTTGTCTAATTCCACCACTGACGCTACCCCCCTCCCTCACTGCATTCCCTTGCATGCTCCCACCAACCGCTAGCACCTGTCTCCCCTCAGCATCTCCCCCACCCCCTTCAACGAAGCCCCCTTGCAAAGGGCCCACCTTTCCACTCCTCCTCTCCTCCTCCCCGCTCCTCCTCTCCTCCCCAGGTCTCCTCCCTTCTGCAATCAACCCCTCCTCTCCTCCCTTACTCCCTTCCCCAACCCCTCTTCCCATCCTCAAGCCCTCACCTTTTCCCTGCTCCCATATCCTCTCACTTCTATCCCTCTCATTTTCTATTTTCGGTTCCATACTCCTTTCAATTGCTTCCCTGTCCCCTCTTCTCTCTCCTCCTGCCTCCCAACCTCTCTCCCCTTCATCATCTCGTTCCTTTGCCTCCCCGATCTCCCTTTCGCCATCCAACTCCCTATCCCCTCCCACATCCCTCATTTCCCCCCCTTGCCTCTCCTCGTCTATCTCTGCTGCTCTCTCCCCTTCCACCTCTTCCTCTTCTCCCTCAATACGTTTTTTCCTCGATTTTCTCCTAGTTCTTTCACTCCCAACCGTATTGTCATGTCCTAAGTCTGACCCTTGACCAGCACCTGAAAAATCACCTGAAACATCACCTGCTGCGGCTGAGCTTCCAGCTGCACCTCCATCAATTCCCTTCCCATCTCCATCTATTCTGTCTTCATTTTGACCCTCTCCCTTCTGCCTCCTCCTCCTCTTTCTCCTCCTCTTCTTCCGACTCTTTCCCCTCCGTTTCTTTCCCTCTTTCCCCCCGTACTCCTCCCCATCACCATCCTCCAATTCCCCTTCTTCGCCCTCCCCCCACCTCCGCTCCACTTCCCCTTCCTCACCCCCCTTCACCTGCCCCTCCCTCTTCCCTCCCTTCCTCACTCCAACACCCTTCTCCTCCTCATCATCCCAGCCGCCCGATCGATCCCGATCCCGATCCAACGCCTTTTGCCCCTCCACGTCAGCATCACCAATCCCCAGCCTCTTCAAACGGTCTCCGCTGGCATCCCTTGCTCCACCACGCTCATCAAGCAACAAGCCACTGTCTTGCAAGTCTAGTGCGCCTTGTTGCAATCGGTGCCGCCGGTGCAGGTGGCGCACGTGTGAGTGGGAGTGGGAGGAGAGGGAGAAGGAGGACGGCTCGTCTGGGTATATGGAGTCATCTGAGTGGTGGTGGGAGATATCGCTGCCCGAGGGGAGGGGAGGGGAGGGGAGGGGAGGGGAGAAGAGGGAAGGGAACTCATATTGAGATGCATGGATGCACATGTGACATTTTAGCATAAATACATGACATTTCCATGCACATGTGAAATCTTGATGTGAGAATATGACATGCGGATTGAAGTGAGGTATGTGCATGCGAACTAGCAGCATGAACGGATAGCACAGAAAAGCCTATGAGCAAACTATGGTACCATGCACCACACACCTCGCACACACACACACGCACACGCACACGCACACGCACACACACACACGCACACACACACACACACACGCACACGCACACACACACACGCACGCGCACGCGCACGCGCACGCGCACGCGCACACGCACACACACACACACACACACACACACACACACACACACACACACACACACACACACACACACACAACCACAAAAACCAGAAAAAAGGAAAAACAAAAAAACAACCAAAAAAAAAAAAAAAAAAAAAAAAAAAAAACCAAGACTCAATGCATTGCGCAGCCAATGCGTCCATATCAAAGTGAACTTTTCGAATAATACCTGTACAGCATGCCAATGATGATCATATTAGTAGCCGTTAGTAGAATCACTGGTAACTGCTGACACATGTTCCATCTCCCCTTCCCAGGTGTTGTTCCAGACCCAGTCAATCCACTGCCAACACCAGGACCACCACCACCAGCGCCGGAACTACCACCACCACCGGCCGCATTCCCATTTCCGTTACTGCTTCCTCTGCCATTACCGCCGCCATTGGCGGAACCTCTGTTACTAGGCGAGCCTCCAGCCCCAGGAGCCATGTCTGGCGCAGCACTCAGGAACGCCCCAGCGGGGCTTCCCCCGCCGCACGCGCTTCCGCGGAGCGTGGCGGAGGGGCGCGCGGAGGACCCCTTGCGGTGCGCTGTCATGGTGAATGAGGGAGGCGGACGGCGGCTTCGGTCGCCTCCGCACCCACCGCCGCAGCTGCCGCCGCCGCTGCCGGTGACAGCTCTATTTACTCTGACTAAGTCAGTCTACGTCACAACTCATTATACTGATGGAATTAGGGTCAATGCAATCGTAATGGAACTAGCTGCGATTTCAAAGCGGCAGACAGCGCGGACTGGAGCGGGAAAAGGCGGATTGGAGCGTGAAGAGGGAGGGAGTCGTAGGAAAATGCGCAAACGCGCGCAGCGGCACCAGTGGACAGGGTAATAGGAAATGCACAGCCGCCGAGCATTGAAAAGAGAAGGGAAGGTGGGATGAAGAAGGGGCAAGAAAATGGTTCCAGAACAAGGCGGAATGACGAGTTTACTGTCGCTTACACTGCTATTGTCCACCGAACCGAAAGCTTCAGGTTAGTGCTGCCGTTGTGTTCTGCCGCGCAAGAATGCACTGTACATGACTAACGTCTCTCGAGCAAGAGAGTATGGACCAACTGTAAATTGGTGAAATGCGACACACGCTAGAGCCTGATAAGCTAGGAAGGAGCATTGATAGCAGCAAGCTCACACCTGTCACAAATTTCCAGGGAAACCTGCCCCCATGACGAGAAATGCGACCAGTTTCAGAAACTAACCGTCCGCCCGAGAACCGTAATTTAACGTGTCAAAAAGCACCGATAAGGCTCTGTACCGTACAGAGTTTCCGTTCTGTTGGTGATTCGCGAAAATCGTCATGTTCGCGGTCCAGCCCGGTGAATGCTTCTCTCCCGCGCTGCACACAAACACGCTGTGGTTACCACTTCAACTGCAGTCCCCGGCTTTGGGCAGCCCATCGTGATTTGCATGGAAACACGGTCAAGCAGGGCAGTGCTGATGACTCTGCTGTTGACTGGTTGCCTGTGAACTCGTTGAATCCATTTGCATGTTGAAACTCAAGCTTGTACGGTAGGAGGGGATTTTAGAGCGTGTTACGTACCCCTTATTTTGGGGCCTGGTCGCGGTTGGCTCGAACGGTCTGGTTGGGTTGAACGTAGGGTTACCAGATAACCCTAGGGTCTACACTGTACAGTATTTGACGTTTGTACCAGAGCACAATCACACCTGGTCGAGGCAACCAGGTGGTCTATGCGACCATATATGGTCCCGCCCACAACCAGCTGGTTGGGGCAACCAGCCACGAACGTACCAACCTGCAATGCAACCAGTGGTACAATGAAAACTGGGGGTAGGTGACACTGTCGAAGCTGAACGTGATTGGTGTACGAAAACAAAGATCAAGGTTTGGTTCACACTAATTGGTTTAGTGACTGTTGGATCTGCCCTAAAAACTGTAGGTATGGTTGGGTCTTCAGAACAGGCGGTTGGTACATTTGCAGGTTGCCTGCAAACCGCCCACCAGTCGACCCGACCAGACAGGTCGGGTCGACTTTTACAGGCAACCGGGGCCTGCCACCAATTTAAGGGGTACGTAACACGCTCTTAGGATACGATAACCTCATAAAGAAACCCAGCAGCAATTTTAGGGCGCGTGTCTTTTGGTGTAGACGTTCGGATTTTTGGTTGAACTTTTGCTGGTTACCCTATTCGTTAATTCCGCCAAAACATTCGCCAGGACGTCGTGTGTCCACGTACACTTCCGGCATCGGAAAATGTTGAGCCCCCAAGTTGAACCCTCATCAACAAACAGGTTGGCACGAATGTGCGAGCGTGTGTCCACCTCATCACTGACAGCGACGATGCGAAGTCTGCGACGCTCGCAGCTAGCATCGTGCGCACGAGGGTGCTCGTCAGCGCGAGTCCCGGTGGCGCGATGTCAAGAGCCCAAACCGGGTAACCTACAAGCGTAGGTCGCGGCTCGGCTGGGCTGCAAAAGTTCAACTTCGATAGTTGAACTTTTGTTTGTCGCGTGATTTTCGGGAGGGGTGGAACCGCGGCTCGGTTTGCAGTTGGTGAAAACTCGAGCCTAGCTCGAGCTAGGTTCATATGACTACAGTTCAACAAAAAATTCGAGATTTGCATGTAAAAACCAAAAGACACGCGCCCTTAGGCAGCCGAGCGACTGCCTTCAGCCCAGCCCCCATATGCCGAATTCTGCACCTCCCCTCAGCGAATGGCTAGACGACTGCTGGGGCAGCGCAATCAGCTACTGTATTGGGTTGGCGGGGGTACCTGCGGAAAAATGTGATTGGTTGGCATGGCATCCTCACTAAGGAAAACTTTGAGGAACGAATAGACCTAGAGGTGTAACGGTTGCAGGAAAGATAGTTGCATTGTAGTGAACTCGCCCCTAGGATGCATTCTGATGTTACATCAAATTTCGCATTACAATCAAAGTACCGCTCTGTACCGAATAACATCCAAGAATTAAACATTGTCAATGAAACAAATGGGTTAAAAATTCGGTTCACAGCGGTACCTTCGATTGTGGCACAAAAATCTAAGACGCATCAACTTCATGAAAGAACCTTACTTTCAGCTGCTCTTCATTGATTGATTTGAAGATTCAGTGCATGGGTGCTACACAAGAGCAACTAGGTCAGCCAGAGGAAAAAAATCAGGGAGCATAAACTTCATCTGCTTGCTTGAGTAAACAGGCACGCCCACAGCTTTGTGCGCAGTGGTGGCAGCATTTACTGGCGCATAGAATGGAGGCCATTAGCTGCAATCATGGGCCTTTCAGCCCATCGAGGCGGCCTGTGCATCCTCTTATTTGCTTCGGGGCTCTCCTCCTCTCCAGGGAAAAGCACTCCGAGCTTGCGGGCCACATCGTGGAAGGAATGCACATCGTCCTGCCATAGCCATGCCGAGCAACCTGCATCCCTCGCTCCCCAGAGGTCGTTCCTCCTGTCATCTCCCACATGCACCGCATGGTGTGGATCTACACCCACCAAGTCACAGGCTGAGTGGAATATCACTGGGTTGGGCTTCTCTGCTTGAATCTGAGAAAACCGAGAAGAGGGGGGTAGTGAAGGAACACGGGGGTTGCTAACATGAATAAGTGAAGGAGCTCATAGTCACTCCATTCCTATCCAATGCACGACATACCATGCTACAACATGACACGGGCATGGAACCACACCACAACATAGCATGGTACATACATATCCACACTGGAAGCAGCCCACCACGAATTTTCTGTCTCAGCAAGGACAGAAAGTTGGCTGTCTACGCACCTCAGCAGACACAGCAATGGCGTCGAACCAGTCGTGGCAGTCCAGCTCCTTGAGCACGGTGCGCAGGCGCGTGTCAAAGTTAGACACAACGGCTATCTTCACCCCCGCGTCGCGAATGGCGGTGAACGCCTCCTTGGCATGGGGGTCCGTGAGACGCCACGCCTGGAGGGGGCGGCAAGGAGAGATGAGGGGAGGAGAGAGGGGGGGGGGGGAGAAACGAGGAGAGTAAGAACAGGTGGACATGAGAGGGGGAAAACGAGACAACCAGGTGGCAAAAGCAATATTAGAAATATTAATGAAGAGGAGGATGGGGGGTGTGAGGGGTCAACGCGATTGAGACGTCCACGATTAGAGGAAGGAGCAATTACCTCCTTGGTCGTGTAATACTGGTACAATTCCTCCAGGTAATCCGGGTGGTTGCACCCTGTGGACTCCGAAACCACGTACTGCCAAAACGGCCGCGCGTCGTCCTCGTATCTCAGAATCGACTTGCGCCACGGCTGGATATATGCGTGGCGGTACCGTTGCAGTATCTCATCCTCGGAATATTTTACGCCGTATTTGCGTCCCAGATCCGCGTAAACCTTAGTGACTGGCTCGCTAGGTTCTACAAGGGTTCCCGCAGCGTCGACTAGCAGCGCGCGGTGCTCCACTCCGTTGTCGCTCGATCCGTCGCCGGACTGCGTCCTACGACTTCCATGCGACGAGTGCGACGGATAGGACATCGTTCGGAAGGGGTCGGTTGAGTTACAGCCACGAGAGGGCGAGGAGAGAGTGGAGGATGATGAGGAGGATTGGAATGAGGGCAGTGAGGGAGAGGACGACGAAGAGTCGAGTGCAGTAGCATCGTCATGAGCGTTCGGCGCGACTTCCGCCTGTATTTGAAGCGCGTGTTTTTTTTGCTGCCACTGCAGTTGTTGCTGCTGCCACAGCTGCGCTCTGCGGAACGGCGACGGGTAACCCTGCGGCTGCTTTTCGCTGCCGTATTCGCCATCGACATCGTCGTCGTCGTTGTCCTCGTATTGAACTGCTACGGCGGCTGTGCTCAAATTGCGCCAGCTGCCAGATTTGCTGATTCCCGCGTTTGCAGCGCCAGCAGGATCACCATGCGAGGAAGCTGAGTTAGTAGACGCGACCGGAGCACACCTAGGGTCAGAGATAGGCGCGGAGACAGAAGCGGAAGTGGCGATATTCGCACAGGCGATCGCGATGGGTGCGAGCGATCTGCTAGCGACAGCAGCGTGGAAAACGCGCGAGAGAAGCGCCGGAACGGCTCCCGACCGTTGTACTGCTGCTCCCGCTGCTCCCGCCGCCATCAAGAACTTGGACGCGTTAGCCATAGCTTTGAACCTATGAATGCAGTGACGATAATGCGGACGAAGTTTATGTTACAATACTCCAGCGATTACTGCGTCAGTATACAAGGCGCTATCATGGGTGATTGGCAGCGGTGGTTGTGGATGCGTGGGAAGATGAGATGGAGATTGTGAGAGTAAGAGAAACAGGCTTGCCGTTGAGTGGAACACAGAAATCGGCTTCTGGAAAAACGGAGAGCAGATGAGGTGGAGGAAAAAGACATGTGCGTGAAGCACGGTCCTGGCTGATACACGTTGAGCTAAGAACGCTTGATGATATGATTATGGTAGCCCAACGGCTCCCTTGGTAACTCGAACAAATGCTTTCTCGATTGTCAGCAAGAGCAGTGTAGCACAAAGCGGGTGAAAGAAGATGGTTGGAGGTGATCGCAGCAGAAATGAGCCTTCACAGAGCGCTATGCTCAGCAGATAAGGGGTGCGAAGAACGCGGGCTTGTAAAGCGAACTGGCGAATGCTGTCGGAGCGCGGCCTTCTTGCGTGGAGATGAAGAATCTCGGTTCGTCGAATGCAGGGAGGGAGTTTTGCGGCTTCTCGCAACGAATGTCCAATGACCTCCAAAGAAGCTGCAACCAACAAGAGTTGGAAGCGAATGGGAGCACTAGCACGGAGAGCGCTGGCAAGCTGAGACGAGCACAAAAAGGGCAGTGCCGAACGCGTCAAGCTTGGGCACAGGAAAGAGACGTGAGCAGGGCAGAGAACGACAACAGGGGCTGTTTTGGATCGAACGGGCACGGAATGAGTTGCGCTAAGATGAGTGAGAGAAGCAGCTTTTGTAGAAATCGGGGTCGAGGGAAGCAAAAAGGAGACACGTGAGAAGAGGAGCAACGACAGGCGAGGAGGGTGAACATTGAACTGGGATGGGGGATAATGCGTGTGGGGGAAGTGGCTGCGGGGATTCGGGAGCTGAAGGCCCTTGGGGGAATGAAGCACACGCGCGGGGATAGAAAAATTCGGTGCCAAGGTGGACTGCGCGTTGTGGGGGTCACAGACAGTTGCGCGCACGGGGGAATACGCGCTGCGACCTCAGACACAGCCCAACTGAGCTGGCCTCCAGTCCAGCCCACATCATTCAGTCCCCATGCTTCTAGGGCATGCCTTCGGGGGACCACACCACACAGTGACACTCCCCGCACTACCCCACACCCGCGCCGCGCGCGCCTGACTTCAGCCCATGGCGACAAATGCCCCTGAAAAAGGTTCGCTTTCCGTCGCATATGGTCGCGCCCGTCGTGGTGTAATCAGTCTGAAATAGTGAGTGGACCTGTTTCGTCGCAGCCAATCTGCTTGCGCAAATTCCGTCAGCAATTCTCGCAGAAATCGGCCAACTTCATTCATACTCAGATTATGCCTGACGCGGTTTGCAAGCGTACTCAACCGACAATTTTTCACTATAGTCAATACAAATATTTTGTCAAACTATTATAAGCACAATACTGAAACAAAGTCGCCATTAGCAGGTCCGCACATACCCAACCAAAAAGGGAACATACTAAAACGCTTGGATAACCAAGAAATAATCTTGTAATGTTAACCGTAAATACCGGATGTCGTATAGTGTTTAGGTTTTTATGCTACAACAAACAACACCGCCTAGCAGAGATTGCTACCCGAAAGGCAAAAAACAGCCCTCCTACTGAAAGGCATCCAGTAAGGATGGCATCAACCCTAAAAACCCTATCGCATGACGTCATCGACTCAATTCTGTTTTTTTATTCCAAGTCTGCATTTTTTTCCAATGTTTTTTTATCTTTACAAAATATGCGCGTTATAAAAAATTTCTTTGTAAAGGGTTGATTCTTCAATGTTTTTCTGTCTTTTGTAAGGTAGCACCTCCACACAATATTGTCGAATTAAGTTCTGTTATCGCGTTCTGTTTCTATCACATTTTGGAAGTGTTATTAGCCTGAAAAGTGCGATTAAAAAGCGAGAACCAATCAGCGATGAGAAATCGAAGTTGAGTACGCTTGCAAACCGCGTCAGGCATAATTTGAGTATCAATGAATACAATAACAATGGATATTAGCCTTAATTGATTCTTAAAGTGTTTAGAACTATGCCTTCCGCTTGAATTATCTCAACAAAGAAACAATACCGTCCAGCAGAGCTTGTTGCCTACATGCAATAAAAAAAAAGCTCCATACAGAAACGCATCCATTCCGGATAGCATCCATTCAAGGTTGATGCCTTCGTTACATAACATGCCATTTGATGTGGTTTTAATTGTCTTCTGTTTTATGTCAGGAGGTCCATGGTTGACGGAGGGTTGACGGTGCCGTCAACCCCATTCCGTTAAAGTGTTCCCAGTCTGCATCCTTTTTCCTAATGTTTTTTTTTAACACTCAATTTGCGCTTGATACTATTTTTTATTCACTGGTTAGCACCTCGACACAATTGTTCATATTTAACTTAGGTTATCGCGTTTTGTTTCTGTCACATCTCGGAGGGATTATTTGCGTGAAAGTGTGATTGAAAGTGAGGACCAATCAGCGATGAGAAATCGAGGTTGAGTACCGATGCAAACTTTCTCAGCCATACTTTGAGTATCAATGATATTGGCCGTTGTTGATGATTTCCGAGGAAAAATTGCGCGACGCGTCAGGCGCCGAACTTCTCTCAAACCCATCGACCAAGCTCGCACCACAGATAGGGCGATCCGAACCTCGGCCAAATGGATCGACCTACATGCGCTTCCACGGTTTTTTCATGCTGCGAACGCCTTAACATGGGCGTTACAGGTGCCATTTGGTTTTACGGTCAGAATCGCGAAATTGCATGTTGAGGTTCCGAATTTACGTCTTACGTCACTTCAGTCCAGTCGTGCCAACAAGGCTTGTCTTGTGCTAACTTTCTTTGGTCTATTTTTTTATCTGGTGTAAAACAAACTAAAACCCGTAGGAAGGCAGGCACCACTTTTAAGCATCAACCCTAAACACCTTCGAAGTTCCCGTGTTTAGGGTTGATGTCTCCCGAATTGCGCCCCTGTATTTAGGGGTTTATTTTTTGTCAGCCCCATGTCAGATTTAGTGCCCCTTGAATGTTTCAGAAAATCGCGATGGACACGTGGCCAAACATATGTCCAGTAAACAAGAAACGTGGCACGTGCGCCAAACATATTCGGCCATTTTCAGGTGCATGCCACTCAGTCTAGGAACACTATTCAAGTGCATGCCATGTTATTGGGCAGGTGTGTACACTTTACGCGGCTTAGAATTTTGATATCGTAAAATAACAGGCTTCCCAAGATTCGTTTAAAATTAGCACAAACAGTCGAGAATAGATGCGATTCCGGATTACGCAAATCGAAATCGGAATGGTTGGCTCTCGACACTGCATTTTCTGACGTTACCAGAAGCAATCATTGCATGTTGCCCGATTTCGACGCGAATTCCTGCTTCGCCCTAACTCTTTTTGAACAAACTTAAATGCTAGATCAGCTGTACTGTTTATGCACGCCCTAGAAAAATTTGTTGATTTGCCATGCGCAGCGTCCGTCAACCGCGTAAACAGTACAGCTGATCTAGCATTTAAGTTTGTCAAAAAAGAGTAAGGGCGAAGCAGGAATTCGCGTCGAAATCGGGCAACATGCAATGATTGCTTCTGGTAACGTCAGAAAATGCAGTGTCGAGAGCCAACCATTCCGATTTCGATTTGCGTAATCCGGAATCGCATCTATTCTCGACTGTTTGTGCTAATTTTAAACGAATCTTGGGAAGCCTGTAATTTTACGATATCAAATTTCTAAGCCGCGTAAAGTGTACACACCTGCCCAATAACATGGCATGCACTTGAATAGTGTTCCTAGACTGAGTGGCATGCACCTGAAAATGGCCGAAACATATTCGCGCTACTGAGAGAACGACTTCGAGAGGGACCACCGACTCTTACACATCAAAATTGTCTGTCATTATCGCAAAAGCGCATGTAGGTCGATTCATTTGGCCGAGGCTCGGATCGCCTTACCTGCGGTGCGAGCTTGGTTGATGGGATTGAGAGAAGTTCGGCGCCTGTCGCGTCGCGCAATTTTTTCGATTTCCGATCTGATTACACATGTTGCTCAACCGCTGCGCTCGAATTTGCCCTGTACGCGCCAGATACTCTGCACGCGTGTATTTATTGCCAGCCAGTTGCACCCCACTTACAAGCGCCTCGAGCAAGTTGCAGCGATTTGAACCAATTCGAACTACAGAAAACGAAGCTTGACCGAAGAGACTGAAGTCAAAAGGTCAATGGCGAGTTACAAAGTTTTTTATAAGCCGCGAATTGACGAAATCTCAGCGAAATGCAAGAATCACTTAAGAGCCCCCTTCACAAGGCAACCTTGGGTTAGTCAAACGAGCATCATTTGTAGTCGCGTCACGTGACGGTCTGGGAAGTTGCGAAACCCATCTGCATTTGGGTCCACATCATCCTTGGCGCATGGACACGTGTTTACCACTCGTGTGTATGAAAATCTCATCAAATCGACTGCAGCTTATACATGTGTGGTTGTGGATGAGCCGTTCCACCTCGAAGACGCCAAGCCGTGCAATAGTTAGGGGAAATCGCACCTCGTTGTCATGTGGTCCCTGGGGTCCAGACATTCAATTTTACCGCGACCGAGATCACGGGCAAGGCTACCCAAGCAATTGGAAATGAGCAGCCAACATCCCTGCAATCCTGAAACCAAACAAGGGTCTGGCACCAAAACGCGATACAGGAAACGCCATTAGAGGATAGAATTAACACAACACAACTCAAAACTTCGCTCAAATGGGTCTGCACAAATCATTAACTCATATACATCCTCCGAGTGTTTTGCACAATGAGTAGACAGTATTTACTTATAGTATCCTTTCTATTTTTCTATACATTATACAAATTCATGTGGTTTTGATTCGTTTTCCATTTTTCAATTCATTATTTCTTAACTAAAGTTGCTACACAGAATACCGCATTTTCCCGGATATAGGGCCCTCCCGATAAAAGGACCCCCCCCAGGACTTCTGTTCGGTTCAGGGACTCATTATGTACCAAAAGTGAGAGGACCCCCCCCTTTGCCTATAATCATTTTAAGACCCCC